TGGAGATGCAGGTTATATACAGCCTCAGCAACATGGACTTCCACTCACCAAGGCTGACTCTTGCCAGGCCACTTCTGAGTGTCCAATTTGCTAGCAACAGACCAACACTGAGTCCCTGAAATGGAACCATTCCTTGGGGTAATCACTCAGCCAGTTGGTGGCAGGTCAGTGACACTGGACCACTTCCAGCATGGGAAGGGCTTTCTCTGGTTAATGGACCTTTCAGGTAGCTCTGGTGGCCTACTGGCAAAAAGCTTCACTTCCATCCCAGAGGTATGTGGTTTGAATCCACCAGATGCTCTGCTGGAGAAAGAGGGGCAATCGCCTCCTGTACCAGTCAGAGCCAATTTGAGGTACACACACACACACCATTTTAAAAAATTTTAAAAAAGATTGTCCCTTTCCTACATGCAATGTTTCTACCAAGACTACCATCTGTGCACCTACTGAATGCCTTACCCACTGTCAAGGTCTCCCACACAGCATTGCCTCGGATCAAGGGACTCACTTCACAGCTAATGAAGTGTGGTAGTGCCTCAGGTACATGCAATTCATTGGTCTTCCTAGGTTTCCTGTCATCTTTCCTTGGAGAACCTGGCTTAAGACAACAGGCTAGTACCCATGTTTTTATCCTGGATCTACAACTCAAGAATGATGTGAACACTCAGCTTTGGTTTCCTCCTCTGAAAACATGAAATACAAAGTATGTGCTTCATGGGATGTTGTTGCCATGGTGTCAAATCCATTCTAACTCACAGTAACCCAACATGACAGAGTTGTTGTTAGGTGCCGTCAAGTTGACTACGATTCATAGCTATGTACATTGGATCTGATCCCTGCCGTATCCTGTGCCGTCCTTATCCTGACAAACTCAAGCCCACCTTTTGTCACTGTGTCAATCCATCTTGTTGAGGGTCTTCCCCTCCTTCTCTGACCCTCCACCTTTCCAAGGATTGGTCCCTCCTAACAACATGCCCCAAGTATGTGAGATGAAGTCACACTATCCTGGCCACCAAGGGGCACCCTGGCTGCACCTTTTCCAAGACATACCTGTTTGTCCTTTCAGTACTCCATGGGATAGTCAGCACTTTTCTCCAACACCACAACTGAAAGACATCAATTATTCTTCTGTCATAGCTAGCCATTGTCCAATTTTCAGATGCAAGTAACTAAAAAGATCACGGTTTGTATCAGGTCTTCAAACTGACATCTTTGCTCTTCAGTACTTTGGAGAGGTCTGACAGAATTTCCCAATGGACTGTATCTTTTGATTTCCTGGCTGCTGGTACTAAGGCTGTTGTTCATTATGGATCCAAGCAAGGTGAAGTCATTGACAATTTCTCTTTCTTCTTCAGGATATATGTAGCATGATGAGGTTTAATTTTTTAATATAAATTTTTTATTTTATACTGGTTTAGTTACAAATTTCATATACATTGTTTTCACACCAGATCTTTCCCATTTCCTTAACCCATGCCTCCCTCCATCCATCAAATTGTGCAACCCTGATTACCCCCTCCTGCTCATCCTTACTCCTCTATTCCCACCCTCTTGCCTTTGATCTTCAGACACATTTTACTAGTTATCTATTTCTATCAATAACGGTCTGATACAGTATTTGCCCTTACGAGACTGAGTTTGTTCACTTAGCATAATGCCGTCCAGTCACTCCCAAGTAGTGATTTACAAAGTCATTGCTCCTGTGTGCTGCGTAGTACACTGTTGTGTGGATGTACCATAATTTCCCAATCCATTCGATTGTGGTGTTGATTTTTTTTATTGTGATGCTGATTTTAAGATGTAATCTAAATGCCACATAAGGCTTCCTCGGCTCTATTCTTCAAGGGAGATCTTCTGTGTTGCTGCTGGGTAAATTCAAACTAACCACTTTTCCATTAGCAGCTGAACACATTGTGCGCCTCCAGGATTCCTGAAGATTAAAGAGACAAAAAAAAGGTAGGAAGTCAATTCTAACCCTACTACATGATGGAGCTACCACATAGGGCTTCTAAGGCTGCACACCTTCATGGATGCAAATTGCCTTATCTTTCTCCCATGGTGGATTAGAACCACTGACCTTTTCGTTAGCAGCCAAAGGATTTAACCTCTGCACCACAAAAGCTCCTTGCATAGGATTAATTTAAAAGCAAACTCCCAACCCCAACAAAAAAATACCATTAGTGAGTCAGTTGTGACTAAAAGTGACCAAAGTAATACACCAGTTTCTGAGGCCAGGCTGGTGGCTTTGAACTTCTGAGCTCTCTGTTAGCAATGTGATAATTTATACAGTATTTCATCAGAGTTCCATGGATTTGTTGTTAGGTACCATGGAATCAACTCCAATGCATAGTGACCTTCTGTACAACAGGTGAAAACACTACCCACTCCGGCTTCACTCCCACCATCTTCACCATGCTCGAGCCCACTGTTGCAGTCATTGTGTCAATAATCTGCATTGTTGAGAGTCTTCCTCTTTCACGGACCCTCCACTTTTTTTCAATTCTGATGTCTTTTCCCTGGGATAGCCCTCCTGATGACATGCCTGAACTATGTGAGATAGGTCTCATTCTCCTTGCCACTAAGGAGCATCCTGTTTATACTTCCTCCAAGACAGGTTTATTTGTTCTCTTGGCAGGCCATGGGATATCCGGTACTCTTTGTCACACCGCAGGTCAAAGGCATCAATTCTTCTTTGGTCTTATTGTCCAACTTTCACATGCATCAGAAGCCAACTGAAAACACACCATGGCCTTAGCCAGGCACAACTCTGGTTAATCAGTAAATGAGTTACTCTGCTAACAGCTCTGAACAGTGTTCCTTGTACAGCAAACTTTCAGTAACTAATCTTATGTAAATATAGCTCTAACTTATACACACGTTTCCAAATCAGTGACGTTCAAGCGCTTTAAAAGTTGTCTGGAGCATGGCGGAAGACCTCCCAGCAGTACGGAGGGCACCCTAACATATGTGAAGTGTCACCACTATTAAATGTAGTAATGTTGAGTCACGCTGAAGCAGAATTAAAAGAATTGCTTGAACTGCGTGCGATTTCTTCTTTTATTGGTTTCCCCAACTTCCAGTTCTCTGAACACAAACTCAAAAGGGCAGCCACTTGGATAATATTTGCTCTGCCGCCTTCCATTTGCCCTACAGCAAGATAAAGGGGCGAGGGGGCGGGGAGGGAAATCAAGCCTTTGGAGGCTGCAAGTAGTTCACTTTCCTCTGACACAAGCAAAGCGCTCGCGAATAGGCTTTGAGCAAGAGAAAGGCTATGTGGCAACCGCGATGCAACCCGCAGGCTGAGGTCTATGTGCAAGGAACCGAAACACGACACCAAGGAACTGAAATGGGACCCCGGGCGCAGCACTCAGCCTCTGTGCTGCCCAGAAAGGGCTGCGCGGTGGGAACCACTTCTAAGAAAATGTCACCCGAAGAACGGGCTTGATGACCACAAAAATCAAACCCACTGCCCCCGAGTCCTTTCCAACTCCTAGGACAGTGTAAGGCCGTCCGGAGGGTTTCGAGGGCTGGCAAATTTTTACTGAAGTAGCAACCATGGCCACCGGGAGTTTTTAAGCGTCAACCTTTGGATTAGTGGCCGAAAGGCAAGTGAGAAAAAAAAAAAAACCATAAAAATGTCAACAGAGTGGCGACTTCGGGTTTGCAAAAGCACTTCGGCTGGAGAAGCCTCGGCGCAGAGCGAGGGGTGGTCGTCGGAGGGTTCGCCACTTGCAGGAGGAGCTGAAGGCCCGCAGGCGGCCCGCCACTGGCCCTTGGCCACGCCGGAGCGGAGGGGCGTGAGGAGGCGCCGCCGAGTCCGCAGTCCCGGCCCCGCAGCCTCCGCAGGCACTGCCGCCCGCGAAACACCGCCCGTCCACACCCGAGCCGCGCACAGACCGCGGCTGCGACGCCGGCGCCACTGACGTCACGCTGACGTCCGACGTGACGTCACGGCGGGGCGGGAGCGGGGAGGACGCGGGAGGGCGTTTCCGGAGCACGCGCTGGGCGCGGGCCGCCGACGTCGGGCTCAGGTGCGCGCG